TGAACGTCCCCATCCAACAAGCTGTGGAATTGCTGAGAGTCTCCTTCTTACTTTCAGCTCTAGTTGAACGAAATACCTCAGGAGCTGCTCTGTCGCTAGCAAAGGATTTTCTGCTCTCTTATTCCCATGGGTTTTGACATAATGCCCACTGAAATCAATGGCCCTTCTTTTCATTAGCTACAGTTGGCTTTGGATCAGGCCTAGGAAGATGCATATCTTCCAGGGATGCCATCGGATGATTTCTTGAAAAAGCATCAAACAAAGGTATATGACGGTATGGGCTGATTAGGAGGGGGAAAAAACAAAAAAGGAAAATTCCGTCTCTCTTTTACATGCTCTGCTTCCTGCTCATATCAGCAATAATTTAGATAATTAAATTGCTCAGTTCAGTAGCTGGGAGAGACACGATCAACAAGCAGAGTCTACTAAGATGTCAAATGTGTTAGTGTTCCATATTTTTTTTTTTGTGAAAAGCTGTATAATTGGACACCATCTTTTCACCCTGGGCTAACCTCTACTTCAGAGGAGCATACTGAAGACATTTAAAATCAAACTATGAATGCCAGCACAGTTAGAACATTTATATGGTGTATGGTGATGTTTCATGGCAGCAGGCGAATGGGTGAAATTATGCAAAATAATATCAGCCCCCTTCCCCCCTTGAATTTAACGGTAAGATGAACAGCTCAGTGTTATGATTTAGTAAAACGAACCCTCCAGCAAAAGTTCAGATATGTTAACGAGCACCCTAAAGTCCATAACTAGATATAGACTTTTTACATTCAGCCTTGAATCATTGATCTTTGCACTGTCCCTGCAGGGTCTTTGAACTTTTGCTGGCATAAGGTATAAGCAGTTTTATTAGATCACCCTACTGAAATGCTTTTCTTACTATTGACTCCAGAGTTGTTTTTCCTTAATACAATTTTGTGACTGAATCGTTCTTCTGAAGAATGCAATAGATCAGAGAAATTGGTTGTTTTTTTCCTTCTCTAACTCACATGGTTTTGGGTGTGGGTGACATCTCTAAAAACAGGACAGAAGAGCAGCATCTGGAGGGCCTGAGGTAGGGAACATCTAGTGTTTGTGTTTAGATCTCTTGTATTAGAAATGCACTGAAATTTTCCGCTCTGACACATTCTTTATATTTGTTCTTGCTCTTCCTTTCATTTTTGCAGGATTCCATTTCTAAACACGCAAGTTTATTTCTCTTCTTTCACACGTTTCCCCTCCTTGGCTCCTGAATTACAAGAATGTGATAGCATTATCTAAGAACCGGGGTTAGACCTGTGTCCTGGTGGTTCTTCCGAATCAGGCTCAGGCAGGACAAAAACAGAGAGAGAAAACATTGCTTTTTTATTGATAATGAACAAGGACTTTATTTGCCCTATAAACTGATGTCAGGATAGTCTTTGATGTCTGTTCTATGAGGACTAAAGCCATGTTAGAAGACAACCAGTAAGGAAGGAGAAGGGACCCCAGTTAGGCAGTTCAGTTCTGGACCTGGGCAACATTGTTTGGACTGCAGAGTCATAGCTCTGTTCCTAGCAACCATGAGGGATAAAGCTTGAGAAGACAAAGCAGCATCCCTTAAAATGCAGAGTGCAAGAGAAGCCCAGCAATGAGCAAAAGCAGAAAATACCTTTGAGATAAGAAGAGCCAAGTTTTGGGTTTTTTTTTTTAATGCAGCTTTTTACGTTCATACAAGTCCCAAAGTGTGTTTGCTTATTGTTTAAAAGCAGAGAGGCCTAGGCATGGATGCGCACTGACCTAAAACTCTACGCTAACCCCTCAGAAAATGCTATAGCAGCACTGGAGGTTGTATAGAGCTGGAGTCTGTCTATCTTCTGCATACTGTTTGTTCAGCTGTGAAGTGGTATGAATAGCTTAGTACTATGCCTGTTTTTTAAGCATAGAGAGCTCAGATTAACATTTAAGAACTTGCTTTTTGGCCTGGATGCCTTTGCCACATGATATTTGCATGTAGTCAGAATGATTCACTTATTTATTTCCCATTAAACTGTTAAAAGCTACAGAGTCCACAATTTGGTAACAAACTTGGATAGGACAGGGTTTGTCAATTCTTTTTGGAAAATCACTTAGTACATCCAAATGTGTTACAAGGGAATCCCACAGTGATAAACAGAAAAAAAAGAGTTTTTTGATTAGCCAATAGATATGTTGACTTATGCCACTTTGAGGAAAAAATGTTCCCACATGATAGGCTGGAGTAAACATAAAAGAAACCAAAAACCAAAAAACAAATTGGCCACTTGGAAATAGGGTCCATTAAACAGAGTTTCTTGTTCTTGGGTCCCTCTGAAAGCTAAACTTTCCCGCTCTTGGTTTCTTTTCAATCCTTTCTCCTGGAATGGGAGAAAAATGCCGACCAGCTGCTGTTATCTCAAACTCAGCTAAGTCTCACAGTGGTAAGCTGAAGTGGGAAAGAAACTCCAGCGTGCAAGACCCTTCACTGAAAATGCCTTACCTCCAGCCCTTCTTCTACTACCCCTGAAGATTTCATTGCCATGATATTAAGCACGTTGATATGAATGGGGCAGTTTTCTCTCGCTGAAACACCCGTGCATAAAGTAGTTGTGAGTTAAGACGCTTGGTTCAATTCTCCACGCTATAAAAATGGATACTGTGATGTATTTCAGCCTGAATGCAAGACTAATATTGAACCACAAATGTATATTATAGCTACCACAGGTTAAGTTTACAGATTTTAAACAGATGCTGTGATTAGTTTTTCCACTGTTTTTAGCTCTGAGCCTAAAAGTCTCTTCTGAGATATCTTTCTACATTCCTAACACAACAGTGAGCTCCTGAAGTATTTTAGCCCAGCGTATAAAGGAATGGATTGCTAGAAATTCAGGTCTCAAGCCTGGTCATGTATGTAGTAGCCCTTCTACTAGGGCAGAAGTCCCACGTGTTCGAAGTCAGTGGTGTGAACCAAGCTCACAGGAGCAGAGCGTGCGCTACGTTTGGAGCCGATGTCCGTCTGTCCCGACACAGTTCTGCTGAGTGACACCGGCGGGTGGTCTGCTCTTTTTATCCTGGCCTAATGTGGGCTAGCAGCTGGCAAAGGTTGTTTTTAATAATGTATTTATAAAACTTCAATGTTCTGCAAGTCCAGACACAGAGGAACAATGTTCTGAGCTTTCAGCACTGAAAAGCAAAAGGGGGAACTGATTTCTCACGTCTTCCTCTGCTGTTAACCTGCTCCTGCCTTGCCAGTGCCAGAAACCAACTTCTGCTAAGACATAGGCAGAAGGAAAAACCTTGGGCTGAAGGCTCCCATAGCTATTTTAAGTGATGCATCCCCTGCTCCCTCTGCAGGAGGCTGGCTGATTGGTATTTCAGTAATGTGTTTATTTAGAAGTAAATTTAACTACTGTAGGGTATGGTGATATTTTCATTCTCTTTTCACTCTTTTTGCGGTTAGCTCAAATCTGAGCGCCTGATTGTGTCGCAGGGACACCATCTGGCTGAGGTGTAAACTACAACACCTAGGTGTACCCTTCACGTTTAGGGATGATTGAATAAACATACTTCTTTTTTTTTTTTTTTTTGATCCTTTCCAGCATTTATTTTCCACCTCTGGCAGATATTTTCATTTTTTTTTATTTGAAGAGTACAGGATATATTAGGTGCATTTTTTTCTCCTTGTCTGTATATGACATGGACTTTGGAAACACAGGAGCCTGCATTTTGTCCTGAGGTTACATGGAAATAAAGACTTCTCAATGACTACATACAAGTTTTTACCTTTTTTATTTCCTAAACCAGAACGATGCTCAATTTGTTTTTGAGAGATATTGTAAAGACAGGTCCAACACTTGACTGATCAAGACTACTTTGAAATAAATGCTGACACCACAATTCTTTTTTGTCTGTGATTCTCCCAGAACCCTATTACTTTGAAAAGAAATATCCCAGAGTGCATAATCAATCCTAGAGCAATGATCTACAACATGCAATGTCCCCTTCACACCTTTTTTTGCCCAGCAGTCAACAGTGAGAAGCCAGTACGTATGTTAAAAGATAGAGGAAGCAGAAATACACTAACAAAATGCAAAAAGAAACCTGTGCGATAAAGAAAAGATGGTTTCCGAAGCTGAGAGAAAGTTTTTTCAAAATGATTCCTCAGGCACTAAGAGCTACAGGGTAGAAATTGTTTTCCATTGTGAGTGTAGAGCTTAATTCATAGAATTTAAATTATTCTCTGATCCTTATAATAACAGTCAGTAACCCAACCGCAGAAAATATTAAAATAAAAAAAATGAGCTAGCCTAGTGTTAGAAAATGTAGCTAAACTTCTAAAAGCCCAGACACTCTGCCTGACTTGTTACAGTACCAGCTGACTTCAGTGGCTTCAGTCAAGGTATATTTGAAACAATGACCTTCAATTGAATATCATCCACCTAAGCTTTTGTACTTCTTTAAACTAAATAATGGAAAGATGTGTTTTGAAGCTGCTGAGTTTACTCATATAGACAAGGACTGGTAGCAACAAGTACACATATGCAAGCTGGTACATATTTTTACCATTGAACATTTCTGAGGCTCAGGAGCTGAAAGTAGCAATGGGTGAGGTGGCAACTGGTTGTGTGTGATTTGCAGTCGATTTTATCTTGGCTCTGTGTCATATATCTCCTGACGACGAATGCGTGGGAGGGCCAGGTCAGGAATGGTTTCCACTCCAGTGCATTGATTGCGTAGTTGGCAGTGGGCTCAATTAAAGTACAATAATCTGGTAATCTTTCTCCTTTTTCAATTCAGGCTGCTGCACATTGAATAGAGCTTGTGAAAGACTATAGCTTCCTGAAAGTGGGTGAACTCCTTGCCTCTTTGTCTGAGTGGTTTGTGTCTAGTCAACTAAAATGACAGGCAGAAGAGACAAGTCCCCAAAACGTTGCTCCCCAACATGCGTCGTTGCTTTTGTTTGTGTTTCTGTGGGTTAACACTTGCTCTTCTTTCCTCTTCTTTCTTGCTAGGCTAACGATTGGATTTATAGCGAGCTTCTTACTACGGTGAAAAGACAAGCTGATGTGAGAAAGGAGATATGTCCATTATGGGAAGGTGCCGTGAACTCCATCTCCTGGTTCTTCTTGCATTCGTGTTCAATGGAGAGAAAAGTCAGGCGCAAAGAGCAGGTACGCACTGCTGTTCCACTTACCCCCTTGTGTTCAAGAGCAGCTGAGGTTTTTACTTGGCTGAGGTGTTATCGCTTCTAGGAGGAAAACAAGAACCCAGGCAAGACATTCATCACTGAGAAGACACAAAATAGACCTTAGGGATAGAGATAGCTCAAGGATCAAGGTTATGATTTAACTAGACTCTCTGGTACTGCTGCAGGATTGCTAATGTTAGCTCAGCCACTCGAGGTAAGGGGAGCAGTTGGCAGTTTACTCTGCATATGCCCCATCTACCCTGCATTGGTGTCAAGATAACTTCTTCCATTGCTTTCAGTGGTTTTCAGAGTAGACCTAGTGGAATTTTAATCTGGACAGAACTTTTCCAGTGAGTTAAACAGGGCTGGGGCAGTGTCTGATAGTTCATACTCTCTAGTTGCTAGCATGCTCCCTGGCATGTTTTCTGGCCTGTGCCAATTAGCACTGTCTCCCAAATGGCACTGAATACATTAGAGGACAGTGGAGTTGAGGGATTGTTCTTATAGGCTTGGTTAGCCTTAGACAGGTTCCCCTATCTTGACAAGGCCACTCTGTTTTCTGAAGGAATGGGAAGAGTTTAGACATATGGATGTGAACCTGGCCACACCTTGGGGCCAGAAGACAACTGTAGACCTGCCTAGTTTACTGATATAGAAACCCAGTGGTACTTTGAGACTGAGGCATTCTTGCTCTTTTTCTAGGAAAGACGCTATTCTGTAGTGTTGTCTAATTTATGCTAATGAAAGAGTTTTTAGCCTGGCTTTCAGTCTAAGGAATAGCTGCTTCACAGTGATGTTATGTGATCTATGTATGTACAGCATTTTAGAAAAAGTATAACAGGAATAGGAGGTTAGTAAAAAAACAGAGTGAAACTTCATCTTTTCTTCTGCTTATGGATCAGTCACGCCAGGAAGGATATGGTGATACCATTTATATGTTCATTTTGTGGTTACTTTAAATAATTCTGGACTTATGGCTTGTTTGTGAACCATTTTTAATGACAGTATAGCAAAATGGATGGCTCAGTGCCTCAGTGGATGAATACAACTCCTGGAATTATGATTCCAGAGAGCATTCCTGTAATTATAAAACTGGAGTTTTCTCTCTGTGAATTATATTCCATATTCCTTTAACATGAACTGCTTCTGCCAGTAAACAATATTATCATACTGTTCCTGGAAAACAATCAATTTTTTTCTAGCAGTGGACATTATTGTGCTAAAAATGCAGATTAATATTTACTAAAAGCTTTTTGAAACATTTCATCTCACTGTCATCAGGTCTGTAAGCAAGGAATCACTGACTCTAAGAAAATGATCCTGAAAGATCATCTTTTTCTTTCCTGCAGTACTACCTGAACAGACATCACATTTTAAACCTCAACCCTCTCCCCCCCCCCTTTTTTTTTAAGTCTCATTACCCTTGAACACAGGCAGGATTCATTCTGTTTGTTCTGTTTGTTTTTAAATTGCAATCAATTCACCTTCTGAGAATCATTAAAATAAGCAACAGGAAGGTCTGTACCTTGTGGGTTATATACTTAGACCTTTACATTTTTAGTTAACCTCGCTTAATTAAAATTCTTTCAGATAAAATAGATTAATGCAATGGTGATTTTTTTCCTGTCCTTAAAGGATATCCTTTAAGGTCTGCAAAGAGCAAGGAGAAATACACTTGTCAATCTGTCTGTCTGATGCACACAGATCTAATTTAATTGACATCCTGTAATATAAAACCATATATTCCATCCTCCTCAAATGCTTGTTACCTTTGAGAGAGTTACTATGTGTGTCTTCTCATAGCAACTTTCAGATGGCTACTCATGCTACTGATGAATCCAACTAGACCTTTCTTGCTCGGTGGTTAGAGAAAGGCACTCCCACCCCACACAAAATGCCATGAAAGAACGTGATCCCGTGTAGGAAAGGTTGTTCCCTTAGACACTGAGGGAGCAGCAGCATCTGGGTCAGGTTGCTGGGATGTCCTCTGCAAGAGAAGTTAGATGCTAATTTCTCATTGTCACCTGCAGCACACCTTGTGTCTTCAGCCACTCTCACTGCCATTGTACGCTGCTGTGAGCTTTGCCCTACAGTGTTATAATTCATGCCTTAAAAGAGGCTTCTACTTTTATCTCAAGGCAAGTCCTCTTCATGTAACTGAGCCACCCACGCTCTCCCTTCCTGTGCAGGGCAGGGCTTCCCTAGGCTATTTTCATTCCTATCATTTTTAGGGCAGGTATATACCACCCCCAGGATGATCAGTAAAGCTAATTATGAACTGTAGGGTCAAATCTGGGAGTGGGAGAAGACTTCATAACCTTCCTGTTGGCTCAGATGCAGGAATTCAGTAAGGACAAACGGCAACAGTGTCATTCGCCCTATCTCTGGGTGGCATGCTTCATATTTCTTTTCACTGAGCTGGCTTTCCAGTAAGCGCTAGACTGGATGAACTGTGTATGATTCTTCCATACTTTTTACTCTGTGCCATGGAAAATATCGTAGTCCTCTGCTAACATCCACATTGAGTGCATTTACATTAGGAGTTTAGTTTGGTCAGGAGTCCAGCAAGGATAGTCTACATCTTAGGGGAGCGCATGGGAGCCCAGGGCCAGGAAGGCAGGAGGCTCCCCAGCCGCCGCCCCCGAGCAAAGTGAGCAGGGCTGCTGCTGTGATAGTAGCCAGATTCAGCTGAGAGTCCAGACTGCCAGACAAGTTCATAGTGACAAAGTAGGCCTGGCGTCAAGCCAGGAATGCGAGTCAGAAAGTCAGGGTCAGAACCAGGTCTGGAGTCGGTAGCTGGATCAACAACAGTCCACGCAAGTCCATCCCAATGACGCAGGTCTGAGGTGAAGCCACGAAGTCTGTGGCTTAGGCAAGGACCAAGGGTAAGAGCCTCACCTTAAAATCAACTTCCAGGGGAAGGAGAGGCAACTTCTGCCAGCAGAGCTTTCTGGAAGCTCTACCCAAAATGACTGGGCCCAGGCAGCCAAACCTCTCAGGAAGTGGGATGCTCTCAGATCCCTGACAAGGATTAAACTTTCAAAGTGAATCTTCTAAGTGTCTCCACTTACTGTGTTTCACATCATGGAGCAGAACTGGATTAATTTCTGATGAAACTGAACTGCAAGATGCACTCCAGAAGTGCATATAATGGGCCTCAGTCATTAATGGGCATTTAGTTGCTAGGACCTGGTTGGAACTAATCTGACATGAAAGCACTCAAACCAAGCACAGTGGGGATGTCCAGTTCTCAGCACCAGCTGTTTTGCTCTGCAGATCTGGTCCTAGCACTCCATAACATGCCCCAGAGTCAGGCATTCTCACAAATATTCCCAAATTTTCTGTCCAAGAGAAGTAGACTATTCAGTCCACATCAGAGCCCAAAGCAGGTTATTAACATGGTCACAGTGGGAACAGCTGGGGAACCAGAGCCCTGCAGCAAAAAAAGGAATTAAAGCAACCTGACAGAACAGATATGCTCTAGGAGAATGTGGGCTAGATGTGGGCTGCCTCAGACTCTGGGCAAAGTAGAAGGGTTTAAAGGCGACTGCCAACATTTTAGGGGACAGAAATAACACTTCCAGGTTAGTGAGGCATAGAAAAGCCCTGTAACTCTGATAGAAATGAAGTGGCATAGGCACTGATACGGACCAGCTCTTTGTCTTTCGTCATGTTATATGTGCTTGTTCTTCACATGATTGATCAAACTGGCTTTTTACCATTGGTTCAATGCAAGCAGTTTTACTTTCAGAGAGGATATGCGACCAGAACTACTGGAGAAATGATGGTTGTGACCATAAATAAATTGAATTTGTAGAACAGCTTTCAGCCTTAGAACTGTATAATTTGTTAGGATCTATGGCATATAAGAGTCATTTAAATAAAACCTATATATATGTATATTTTTTTCCAACTAGGGTGTTATGATGATCTATGTTTGTCACCTCTGGGGCTTTTTATGAGTATACAGTATATTGGCTTGCATATATTCAGAGAGAGCTACAAGACATCTCCTGCGAGATCTACCTCCTTGGCAAGTGACTGACAAATATATGACCAGTTTGGCTTCATGGGACAAGAAAGCTGCAATCAGAATACATTTGCCTTTCGGATTACACAGGCCTCAGATTACAAATATCATGGCCAGGGCCAAAAGGGTGGTCGTGGGGATAAGTGAACTTTTTCCTTACAAAGGAACTATCATTTGTTGTCAAGGAAGCTGTCCCAGTATTCAGTGAGTCATCCTTTAGTCAATAGTTAATGGCAGACAGCCTCAAAATCAAAATAATCTTGTTATAAACTTGTTTCACCAAGAATCATGCTGAACAAAAGAACTGCTTCTAGCTAAGCATAAATAAATCATAATGTTAATGCAAGGGGGAACAGGAAAGCTTTCCCTACTCAAGGTCATGATTGGCATAGGCAAGGTCAGGGCAGTTCTCCTGATCTGCCAAGGTCATTTCAGAACATTGCATGAGCAGAGTGGACAGAAAAGGAAAAGCCCTGAGGTTTTTAAAGAGAAAAATAGCTTCTCATGCATGCAGACAGCATAGGTGAAAGACTGAGTAAAGAAGCAATTAGCAATGCAGAAAGAGAGAGGGTTTGCATTTCAAGTTAGAGTGTGTGCTGATCTACTGTAGCTGCCCTGAAATAGATGAGGTGAGTCACAAGGAAGAAAGGCTGAGAACCTGCACTTTCTCTGTAGGATAGGGAGAGAGTTTGCTACCTCCTCAAAATCATTCACTAAACAGAAATGCCTATAGCATATTTGGTATGTCTGATAGTTGTCTTTCAGTTTCCCTTAGTGACATATTCTGCCACTCCTGCAGGTTGCAAGAACGTTCACTATGACCTTGTTTTCATCTTGGATGCCTCCTCCAGCGTTGGAAAAGAAGATTTTGAGAAGGTTCGACAGTGGGTGTCTAATTTGGTGGAAACTTTTGAGATTGGCCCAGATAAAACCCGAGTAGGTGTGGTGCGGTACAGCGATCGGCCGACCACGGAGTTTGACCTGGGAAGATATAGAACTCGTGAGGAAATCAAACAAGCTGCACAAAAAATTAAGTATTATGGGGGTAATACAAACACTGGAGATGCTCTCAGGTACATCAACACTTACAGTTTTTCCAAAGAAGCGGGTGGGAGACTTAGTGACCAAACAGTTAAAAAGGTAGCTATCCTTCTGACGGATGGAAGGAGCCAGGATCATGTCTTAGATGCAGCCACTGCAGCCCGTCAGGCTGGGATTAGACTCTTTGCTGTGGGTGTTGGCGAAGCCTTAAAAGAAGAACTGGATGAAATCGCTTCAGAACCCAAGTCTGCTCATGTGTTTCATGTCTCTGATTACAATGCCATCGATAAAATTCGAGGGAAGTTGAGAAGACGCCTTTGTGAAAGTAAGTAGAGCTCCCACTTCTTTTGCACAATGAGAATTGTAATAGGTGCAGATAGCATACGGGTATGAAAAAATCTGTGATTGTTTTATTTCATGCTTACCTGTATAATTCTATGCTGATAATTCTTTATTTTAGAGTCTTTGGTACTCTGCCCTGTAAGAAGTCATTTTACTGTCTGGAGCAGTGATGAAGTGTTCACTCTGGGTTCCTCTGCCAAAGTCTGAAGATGTAGGTCAGCTGCTGGTGGTCAAAGTAGAGAGTAAAACATGGATTCCCTTTTTGTTCTGACATAGTTCATTCGCTTTGTAATATTTTGATCTGAAAAAAATTTGATCTGTTTCCAGGGCATCCTGGCCTAGATGTGGAGGATGATATCTTATTTGTACACAGAATTTGACATATTCTATACAGGAATTGGTCTTTTTCCTTATTTCCTGGTATTATAGTATAAAAAGCGTGCTCTGGATGCTGCTGAGAATAATCCTTTAGGAAGCAGAAGGGATACTTGGGCTTGTTTACCTTTCAGGAGCCAGAGTGTACTGACAACCGGTGTACACTAATGTTCTGGATACAAACTGCAAAACCTTGGCGTGATATTTTGAATGGCTTTTAATGGAGGTCCGCTGGGCGTGAAATTCATACTGAATAAGTGAACTTTGAATTTCCAGCCCCGAGTGAAAGAGGACTATGATAGAGTTAATGGCTGGTATCCGAACACGTTAACTGAGACAGCACTCACACGTCCCTTTCCACTTCCAACACTGATAAACTGCTATCTCAGAGTTCTTGGTGACGATATATAAGATATCTGGTTTTGTGGCTTTTCACAGTGTGTATTATAGTTGCTGCGCTTTCTTTTGGTCAAAATAATGAGGCACTGGTCTGGACCATCGGTCTGAACTTGAAAGATGAACGGATGAGTCCTTGTGTGATGCTGAAACATGCTGCAGTGTCAAAGATCAGGTCTGTGGGCTGGGAATTTGTGTTACAGTCTGGTGACAATAACTTATCTGAAAAAAAAGCTGGCCTTGTAGCTTGTGTTGCGATGCTCTTTTATTGTGTTCCATTTGCAAGAAAAAGTATTCACCTAATGCTTTGAACTCCTGTATGCTTCTTACACAATGACTAACACGAGTAGGTGTTGCCCAACCCTGTCAAGGTGCGACTGCTTTTTGCAGCCCAAATAAAAATGGGTATGGACAGTATAATCCCCATACAAGCAAAAGCCATGGTGGATTTTGACTACAAGCTCTAGAAATCAAAGGAGCTGTCCTTTTCCTTGATATTCCAAAGTAATAATATACATTTAAGACTGGAGTAGAATAAGCAAATGGAAACCCTTCTGATGGGCCAGCTGTGCTCAACCAACTTGCTACTGCAGCTGCTGGACTGCCGATGTCTGATTTTCCTTTGAAATTCTGTTATATTGATTTTTAAAAACAAGTGCTTTCAGTACTTTTTACCCTGGGTCTGTTTATATCACCTTCTCAGGAAATCGTTTGACCATCTTGCCTGGTATAATGCCATTTGCCCAAGGAACTCTGCATCCATATGGGTCCATACATGTTTGCATACCACTTCTAATTAGATCCCAAAGGATTACTAAATCATACTTCATCCTGAGTGTGATAACAGTCACTCTCAGGGGTATTTGCTTCCATCTACCGTAGTGGGTTAAATGGGATGGAATAAAGCCTCTGAAAGGTAAGTGAAAGGGAATAGTACAGTTTTATCAGATACAAACAACTTACAGGGGGAAAACAGAAGGCTCAATTTTTTGGTTTCCATGTAAGAACAAGGGAATCACACTGCCAGTAAGGAACATTAATAAAGGAAGGAGCAGAGAGGAAGGGACCAAACAGCTCATGGGGAATGTTTACATACTGAGGAGTACTCAGACCACATAATGAAATGTAAGGAAGTTAGCAGTGACAAGGGGAACTGAGTAGCCGGGTATCTGGGAGGACGCAGTGAATGCAGATGGGTTCGAAAGAGGTGTATCCAGCATGGAAAGAAGGGTTGTTAACTAAGGCAGCAAGCACAGGTGTGTAAAAAAGTATTAATACATCTTTGCAATAGAATTACTTCCACATCCACAGCAATTATAGAAGACAGGACTGCAGTAGACTTCAGGAGGCCATGCTGAGTGGTTTTCTGATCCAAGGTCTCCGGTGAGATTCTGTAATGTCTCCAGACCCTTTGTTCCAGTCCTTCACAGCCTTAATGGGGGAGACTTTCTTCTCTGTATCTGGTCTTGGTCCTTCTTGCTGCACTTTGAGCCTGATCCTGTCCTGTTTTCACTGGATACCAGGAAGAGTTTGTTCTCCTCCTCTCTGCAAAGGTTTTTTCTGCTTGGAAGGCTGTTTTTGTGTCTTCCCAAAGCTTTGTTTTCTCTAGTTTATCTGGAGAAACTGCTTTTTAGCAGAGTACGTCTTGTTATTATTTATTTATTTATTTTATTGTTTTCCCTGTGAAATGTTTTTAACGTGTGAGATGTTAGATCTGAACTAAACAAACAAACAAGGAATTCCTGTTCAGCACTGAAAAGGGGCATTCAGCCAGAGGGTGAGAGATGGAAGGCACCATCAATAGATGTATTGACACAGAGAACAGGTAACTCTCTGGTTCAGAGGATGGGAGATGAATGGTTGAGAATAGGACTTAGTCTTTTCTTCTGCATGCACCACTATTACATTTCAGGTTAACACAGCAGGAACAGCTCATTGTAAGGGCTACACTTTACACATATTTAGAAGGTAAAACATTTAACAGTTGTTGTAGTTAACTTTCTGTAATTTTAATATGATAATACTGCATAAAAATGGAACGTGCAAACTGGTGGATAGGTGGAGGACGTCACCCATGGAGCAGGCTCATGCTATGCTAGTCTTCAGTTTGTGTATATTCTAAGACAGAAGCCTACATTGCCAGAGCCAAGTTAGGGTTTTAATAGACATAATCCTCTGTGAGCTCACGGGAAACACATGAATCAAAGAGAGGAAACGGTAGAGAGTTTTTCTGTTGTACTGACCAGTGATGATTCTTCCAGTCCTTTTGCTGCTGTACTCCAGTCGTGCAGTGCTGTAGGTACTGGATTTCATGCCAGCAGCTGTTCAGAATCAGTTGTCTCTGGTCTCACTGGATGTCTGTTCTGGACTCTTGTCGTTCCGTTTTGCTATATTTGACTGAATTTGTTGCTAAGAACATGTCATTAAGTGCATTAATAGCATTTTAGCTCTCATTTGATACTGTGGAAGTAAGCATAGCAGACTTGGAAAATAACGTGTCTACTCAGTGGGACATTGTGGCAATGGGAGGTATTTTTGCCAAACTTCTCCATTACATTCTGCACTATAGTTAGCAGGAGAAGTTGGATGATGCTTTTACATGACAGCAGGAGAGATGTATTCTGCTAAAAATTCCAGAGATGCTGCATGCTTTCTAAATAGGGTTTCTGCTTATATGCTGTAGAGATGAGAACAAGCAGCTATGGAATATTTAAAAATATACTGGCACCTGCTTCCGTTAGGTAAATATTAGGTTTATGCTTGTCAAGAGAGCCAATTGCTTCGATTTCAACACAGGTTTCATTTGAAACTGGATTTGATAAGTTAGTGCACGTACAGAGCTGTCAACCTGTCGTGGGTCTGCTAGCACTGGGGTTTAGCACTATGACTTGACATTTAAGCCTCAGTGGGGGAGACGCTGTAACGGTGCCCTAAAAAACAGCATCTGCTCAGAGGTAATTGTTTCTTAAACAACACCGATTGCAGTGCTCTGGACGCTGCAGTATTTGAGTTTATTTTGTTATCATTAAGCTAGACAGGTGATAAGATGCAGTTTGCAAAGCTGGACAAAAACATTCTCCAAAGCCATTTTCACTGTTTACTGAGTCCATAAGCAGTAGCCTATTACTTGGCACCCTTAGACCACACAGCATATATGTGGGATTACTAAACCTTTGCCATATGGCAAAACTCAGATTATACATCTTGAAAGGAAATGTAGCTTTAGAGGTATAGTTTCAGCAAAGAGTTTTTCCTTCTGCAGCTAGTAATGGAAGAAATACAAGTGAACGTTTTCCAAGAAAGGACTATGGGAGCATTGTGCTCAGCACTGGACCAGGAACTGAAATCTGAGGCAGTGTTTGATATTCCGCACAGTCTTCTCAGCTGCTTGTGGTGTCAAGTCAAAGGGATTTCTAGGAACGTGTGGTACTGGAGAAGAGCACATCTCTTTGCATGTCTGTGTGAGCAAGTTAACTGACTGACCTGCTAGATTTTGGGCGAGCCTGGTAGGATGAGTATTTTGTGTTAATTGCTTTCCTCTGGCAGATGAGTTCTGGAGTGGTGTTTGCTTTCTTCCAGCTGAAATGAGAGGCAACAACCAGATTGCTCAGTGAGAAGCAGCGCTACATTTAGTGATATACTGAGGTCATCTGGCAGTTTGTGGAGAAATGTTGCCTGAACCTTTAGACAGTTGAACATACAACACCGTTTATCAACATGAATGCCTGCAGAACTGCCTGGGAGACTGATCTTCATGGCAGAATCTGGCAAGCCTCTTTCTGTATTTATCAGAATTAATCAATTCTTGCCTATGGTCATCAATGACTTTTATGTATAATGTAGCTCTTCAGTCAGTTTTTAGTTGCTTGTAAGATTCATTTATCTGCAATAATGAGTTCCTTCCCGGATGTGTGGAAGACCAAAGGAGTATAGCACCACCTGAATCTCAATTCTTTGCATGCAGAAGGAGTTTCGGTCAAAATGTGTCCATGACGGAATAGTACCAATGGCTTGTCATTGATGTCAATGGATATAGCGAGGCCTGTGATGAAATTTCAAAAGCACTCATTTTCAGATGGTTCATAAAATTTCTGGTTTTATTGGTACATATACGTTTTGACTTTCGATACATGCAACGTAGGTCTTATGTTTTCACTGCTCTATTTCTGACATGAAAGGGCTGCTGACCTTCGATGCAGTAACTTGAACATA